TCCGAAGAGATGCCTGGAAGAAACTCTGGTAAGGTATGGATTACTTTAAAGATTAGGGTGAAAGTTATAGATCGTGAAAATATTATATATAACAGAAAGCGGGTAGAAGTGCTGTATCATATATAGTTACATTGGGGTAGGGGTGATATAGAGCAAAGTTAGATAACACAACCATTTATATTATTTTTAATAATGTTGCTAAAACTTTACTGCGTGTCTATGGTTGGGATACATTAACTAACACAACTGGCTTACTTCCCTTTATAATTTGTTTTTCCCAATAAAAATGAGGATTTCGATTATTTGTTTCGAAAAGAATCAGCAAGATTTTTGAAGTACCACATAGTGTTTTGGATTGTGGTTGAAGGAAAAACTTGGTTGGGCTTTCATTGAAAAGCTATGTCATATGAGGGAGTAATGGGATTGGGGGGGGGGGGGGGGGCGGACTGGATTTTCTATATAAATCACATATAGTTTCTATTTCGTTTAGGGAAGGGGTGCTTGTCTTACGTGCTTTGAGGCAATGACCCCCCCCCCGAAGAGATGCTAGAAAGAAACTCTGTGATAATGTATGATGATTGGAAAGGGGGTGGGGAGTCAAAATCGTTTAAAAAGCGTGACATAATGTACGACCCCCCCCCCTTGTTGGAGTTGTGGGTTTACAAAGTCACATTTTGTGTCGTATATATATAAGCACCGTATATAGGTTTGAGTTAGGTGTCGTGATCGGTCGTGTCAGTGAAAGTATCGAATATCTTGTGAGTCGAGCCTTAAAATACCCACGCTACTCACAGGCGTAGCGAGGGCGGGGCGGGGTGTGGACCGCACAGGGTGACACCATTTAGGGGGGGGGGAGGTGTGACACCAACGTGATTAATTAAAGTTAATTATTCTTTTAAGTACAAATTAACAATTAACAATTATTGCAAAAGGGCAGGGTATTATAGGCATATGTAGGTCGACACAAACACACACACGCATATATATACTTTTTTCTTTGGGAGGGGGGGGGGAAGGGGGGAGTGACACCACGAAATGCCGCACTGTGTTGACACCCGACCAAGCGACGCCACTGACGCTACGTGATATTGTCTCCTGTCCCGGGGTGCGATATCGTGTTCCCCTCGGTCAAGGTTCCGTGATTCCCCCATAACGGTGCCGTCACGGATGATTGAACTAAACGATCGAACATGCCGATACTTGAGGTAAACCAATGGCGTTTCGATGTCACAACTCGCTTTGTTTTTTTCCAACACTGGCAACTTGGTCTGGCCTGGTCTTTGCCAGATAAAAAAATGTTGAACGTCGGCTGAATTTCACGAAAAACTAAACGCATATTGACGTGTAAGGGTGTCCTATAGAACGCAAAAAATATGTTTTATACTAGAAGTCGTCTAAAAGTTACTTAATTTTAACCACTTTATAGGCCTAACTCCTCCTAGATGACACCAGAGTTTCTTCCAGGCATCGCTTCGCCCCCCCCCCCCCACCCCCGAAATTTTTTTTACCGCCCCCCTGAACGAAATGAAATTTATATAATTTATATAGAAAATATATACTTTTAACAGTGTGCGCCCCCCCCCCCCCCGAAGAAAGTCTACCGCCCCCCCCCCGAAAATTTCAAGTGCCACCCCCAGAGAAAAATGTCTGGAAGAAACACTGGATGACACCACAACGCGCTAAAAAAGAACTACGAAAATCCATTGCATGTGTCTGTGAAATAACGTGTCCTAAAAAGGCGAAATGCTAGACCCTACAATTACATCTCATCTCTTGACGGACACCCCCCCCCCTTCTCACCCCCCCCCCCCCCCCCCCACACACACACAACCTCCCATCCACATTGGCCTATGATTTCCTATTTGACCATCCTCCCCCTTACTAGATCGAGATTCTATGTGCACTTTCATGTGCACGAAAACTTCGCCTACAAAATCCTTTATTAATATCTTTAACTTAATAACTTTAGATCTAGATTTTCTAAGACTTAAGAACTTCTTTGTCGTTAAACACAAAAAAAGATTATATAATAGATCTTTATTATATAACGTAGCGATGTTAGTTAGTCACCATTTAACGGAAAAGTACAAATTTGATAATGCGACCGTAACAAAAGTTTCCATTCAGGTGATAGATTCTAGATTTTTAGATTCTAGTCTAGATTCTGAAGAAATCGAGTGTAGATCTAGATCTAGATTCTACTTATTTATAATCAGGAACGTGTGCGGTAGTCTACCCTTTTGTGCGTCGCAAAACATAGATCCCGACGCATGCTACTTTAATGCTTTCCCCGCGAACAAGAATAGTGTTTACAAAACATGGAAGTCACCGCTGGACGTTTTTAGCTGCTTTGGAATTTGGATATTTTTTGTGATTAAGTACTTAATGTGTTATTAATCATTAACTTTGTTTTGAATGTGCAGCGCTGATTTATCTCATATTTATCAAAGATATAGAAATCTATATCTAGAAGAAACTTAGAATGCCATGATAAAAATAAATGATGATCTGGATCTGTTTGATTGCTTGCTGGCTTATTTTAGCGGCCGATGGTAGCCAGATCTGATGTTGTCTGATGTTGATTTAGATTTAAAATCTAGATTCTAGATCTAGACTAGTTCTAGAATCTAGATCTAGATTCTAGATCTAATCTAGACTCTAGAAGTCTAATCTTAGACTAATCTATGTCTAAAGCGCTCAGAAGGCTATTACTGTTAGAGTGTTAGACTGTTAGTAATTCGCTTTTTTTGCAGATCATATTTATTTTAAATAGATCTATGAAACTATGAATCTATGTGTGCATATTTTTTTTTGATTATTGCATATATGACTTAGGACACTTGACTTTTCAACATTTCGATTCATATTTTTTTAACTATCTTGCATATGACTTATACACTTGACTATCAGGTAGTTTGTTTATTTCTTGGCATGAGTTCCATTCCTTTTGGCTCGAAATTTTATTTTGCTTTTTTTCCTATTTTTTTTTCATGTTTAGGGGTTAGGGTTAAGTTTAGAGCTAGACATAAGGGTAGCTTTAGATGGTTTAGGGTTAAGGTTAGGAATTAGGGTTAGGCATTAGGGTAGGTTTTGGGTTATGTTTAGGGTTGGGGATAATTTTAGATCTAAAAACATTAATTCTGCATTGCTTAAATATTTTATCTATAGGGAAATTTAAGAATCACAGAAAAATGCTTTGATCTGATTGGTCAGAGTACGAATAGCCTTCGATATCAAAGGGCTATTTGTAGTGAAGTACAAATAACGCAGCCTTCCAAAATCTGATACTGTTGATTTGATCTAGGAATACTTGTAGGATATATCTTATTCTTAACTATCTTGATCTAGAATCTACTTACCACTTAATTTTAATGTTGGACTAGCCACAGTGCTTCCTTGTTCAGATTTCTAGAATCAATAGGCCTATGTGGGGGGACATTCCATTCCTCAATTTGTTAACCTAAATCAGGGGTCTCCAAACTTTTCAGCCAAAGGGCCGCATTAACTATCAACAAATATCAGTTCGGGGGCCAGAGTTTCTTCAAGTCATCTCTTCGGGTGGTGGCGCCCCCCCCCCCCCCCCCCCAACGAAATATTATAGAAATATATACAAATTTCAATTGTCGTCCCCCCCCCCCCCCCCCCCCCCCCCCCCAGAAAATAGTCTGAAAGAAACACTGTCAGAGGCCAACAACACACTTCAGGTCCATGTTTGCTCTCTAATTATTCTTCACGTATTTCATTATTGAAAATGTTTGTTCACTCAGGTATCTTGTTCCAAAATTTGAATAGTACTTTGATGCAACCGTTTTAATAATAGGAAAGTCTTCCTTGTGCAAAATCTTATAAAAGCCCACCGGCCCTTCTGTGAACGTGTCTCTAATGACCTGCAGCTGCAGTTCATCTTTGCAACTGGCCACATTTGCTTCAAATGCCTTTGAATCCAAATCAGAAAACCACTACTGAAACTACAGCGGGAGGTCTTTGATGATCTCGCATGCAAATGACGTGGGGAACTCAGTGGTTGCTTCAGTGACTTAATTGGTCGCCTAATTATTTTTTTATGAATTAATTAAAATTTGGACAGAATTATTAGGCAGTTCTATCCACACGCGTCATCACGGCCGTCTTGCGCGTGGAGAGAGGGGGACTCTTCTACAAAAGCGCGTCATCACGTTCAATAGGCGCGCAATGGTTTTTAGTTGGGTCAGCAGTCTAGTTCTTTACCACTAGACTACGCCATCCCATAATACTTTATCCACATGAGTCATCACGGCCCTCTTGACCCACACTTTTCTTTATAGTAATTTAAATAGTACTGTCTAATATTTAGGAAGATACCCACGCTTTTCTTTATAGTTATTTTAATAGTAGTGTATAATTTATTTTCTACTTTTTAGTGCATTATTACATAAAAGCTTGTTATTAAAACGTTTTTTTATGAATTTTTTTTTTTAACTCAAATACTCTGCTCAGAACTTTCTTGCAAATTAGCCATCTTACTGCCGGAAACATAGTGAATCTTACAATTCTGGGTTTGTATCTTTCAACATATCTCTGAACTATCTATGGTTAGCTATCCTCTCCGGTAACAGTGCCGTCATCTTAAATAATAATGAAATTTATTATTTGCTATTATAATTATAAGATAAGGCCTATCCTAACAAATACATTATTAGGTCTAGAGTCTATTTCTAGGTCATCTAGACCTATACATAATACTGTAGTATAGGCCTATTTAAATTTCAAAGGTCTAAATTAAGCATTTCTCAGTTGGAGCTGTGTGGATCTGATAATTTTAATACTGTTCTAATTTTAAATTTTAAATGCCTATTTCAATAAGTAAGCCTGTGTAATTTTTAAGAATAGTAGTAAAATAGCTTAGGCTATTAAATTATTTAATATAGAATCTATAGAAGAACTTAATAAAACTGTTATATATCGGATTCCTCACAATACCTTTAGAGGTAGAGGTCTGAGAAACAGGTGATCTCTAATTTATCTTTTGAACAGCCAGGTTTGATAGGGTAACTACCACATAATACAAGTAAAGGGAAACAAACTACTACACAAACTTATAGTCAAAATGCAAAAGGGAAACTACTACATTCACACATGTATGCAAAATATAAAAGGGAAACCACTACTACACATACTTGTAGGCAAAATACAAAAGGGAAACCCTTACATACACACATGTAGGCAAAATACAAAAGGGAAACCACTACTACACATACTTGTAGACAAAATACAAAAGGGAAACCACTACTACACATACTTGTAGACAAAATACAAAAGGGAAACCACTACTACACATACTTGTAGGCAATATACAAAAGGGAAACAACTACATACACTCATGTAGGCAAAATACAAAAGGGAAACCACTACTACACATACTTGTAGACCATAATATAAGAAATGGGAAACCACCCCTACACACACTTGTAGGCAAAATACCAACGGGAAACTACTACACACATCTGTAGAACACAATGCATGTAAATAATAACTACTAGAACACACTTTAGAACATAATACAAGTTAAGGGAAACTACTTCACAATTGTAGAATATAATACACGGAGAACATAATATAAGTAAAAAAGAACCATTACTACAGGGTTGTAAAACATAATGCAAGTAAACTACCTAGGGTTGTTGTAGTAAACTTGATAAAACAAATGTACCACCACAATAATAATAATGTGTAGAGTTGGCCAACCACTACCACAGTACTCAACCACTACCACAGTACTGTTCAAGTTTTTTTGTTCGGGGCAGCTAAATGGGCTCCAACTTAACTACACATGTGGATGTGGAAGTTTTGCAGGCTGAGGTGGGGGGGGGGGGGGTTGTAGTGTATTCTGGCAGTCTGAAGTGAAGCCTTTATTAGGTTAAGATGTGGAACCTTCAGTCTATTCAGAGTCAGTCATCCGTGTCAGCTGACATTTGCCTATGTGTAACACACAGGGCCTCATTCATGTATTGTAACTTAACAATTAACACATCGGCCATTACTTATAAAACAAGATTCTGGATTTCCATTAGAACATGTTTTGATCAGAAGTAGGACATTCTCAATTTTACCTGTTATTTTCTTGTTTTGTTCTACAATAGGACATAGTATAGTTTTTTTTACACATTTTCTGTCTTAACTGCACTGTCATGATATGCTACTTCAAATGTATGGCTGCAAATACGTTTATTAGTATTATTACTAAATGGGACCTTGAAACAATGGACAATCAAGTCATTAACCCACCCCCATTCCAGTCAGCTAACCCACCCCCACTCCATACAACTTCCCTCCCCCACCCACCCCCACAGCCCAGACTGACCCACCCACTAAGTACACTGACTACTCCCATCATATGACCATAAGCCCACACTTGAAGTCTGAACATTTTAGCCCTGAGCTCACCTGTGTAACTTAACTACCTTAGAAGTAAAGCAGAAGATTGTAGTTTATGTGTATAAACACAACAGATGTTCTAAGTAATTAAAAAAAGATAATAGACTCAGAGTGTAGTTGTTTCTGACTGGTCATTTATTTATACTTTCAGCAATAAAATGTTCCAGTTTTTACAGAAAGACTATCACATCTTGTCCAGTCCATGAAGCTTCTGCAAGTTGAACAGTTGTGGACCTCATTAATAATGGCAATAAGAAGGCAGATCTCCTTCTGGCGTCTGCGTAGGAGGGTGGCCTTGTTCATATTCACTATAATCCTCATCAGCATGGGGCTGATGTACCGAGCCCTCATGTCCCACCACGACAAGTCCCAGCCCACAGACATCTCCTTCCCCAGCATGCTCAGACACTCCCCACACTTCCACCCAAAGGCCAACCTCAGCCACGCAGCCGACTACCAGCTCGTGGTCAAACTACCACAGCTGGTCAACAAACTCTACTACAACCTGAACTCTAACGAGCTCGCGTCTCTGAAGCTGAGAGATCTGTTAAGTTCTGATAGTAAGATAGCGCTGGGGAAATTCCTGCAGCGCTTGTACCCGCTCAACTGGGCGGAAGCGCCGGAGACGGATGAGATGGCGCTGGAGCTCAAACACACGCTGCTTGACTACGGTCTTGACAGCAACCTAAGCTGTAGAGACATTGACAGATTCAGGCTGGGCAGCTCCCTGGCTTACTCAAGGTCTAAGAGTATTGATGTTGGATATGAGAACTCGTTTGGGGCGAATGGTGTAGATGAAAGCGTGGAGATGGCTCTGCGCAGTTTTTCTAATGATATCAACACTAAAATCTCCTGCATGAAGCAGATTTATGACAGTGAGCTGTGTTCAACTATGGGCAACTACAGGTAGGAAGATGAACCTTTTTTTAAAAAGTTACCATAAATAGTGTTAGTAATACTACACCTGTATATGAGTTTGACTCACAATCTTTTTTTCTCATATTGTTAAACTGTCCACACCTAGATTCCTCAAGTGAATGAAGATGAGATGTTATATACTTTAAACTGTTTTGTAACAAAATATGTTGTAATGACATATCAGAATGACTGATATGTCATTGTTAAAGGTACACAAAGGATTAGATAGACCAAATATTGTATGGGAAAGCACTAGTTGTACAAAAGGAAAATGCTACCTATTTAAAAACAACACATTCTCATAAAACCTGTGAGTTTTGGTGATTTATGTTGTGGGGGATGGAAATATAAGTACCAAAATAATACAAAGTTAAACATTACAGATTAATTAACTATCGTAATTTTGGTTACCATAATAGTTTTGTGATAGAATTTGCAGATTAATTAATGATCTTCATTTTGGTTGCCATAATAGTTTTGCAACAAGCTTTGCAGGCTTATGAATTATTTTGGTAATCTAAAAAGTTAAAAAAGTAATACCGGGATTTCTATGAACAAATCTAGTTTACTGATGAAGCTGACTGAACATGTTGTCTGTGCACCTGACAATGTTGTTAGGAATTCAGAGTTGCTGTTCCTTGTCAGAGGGAAAATTTGCATATGAATGTAATTGAGTGTATGTAAATTAAGAGAAAATAGTTTTATTGTAGGGGTTGGTTTAAGAAAAAAAGTTTGAATAATAATCAGACAATTGTGATGAGTTTGTATATTAAGTAATGAATTGTTGTCAACAACAATGCATGTTTTAGAAAGTTAATTCTGTTTTTGCTGTTTCAGTGTTTGATGTTTGTGCAGTTGCAACATTTTGTAGATAATGTATTCAAACAGAAAACAATGAATTATTGATTAGTATATTTTGTTGTGGTGAGTTGGAGTGGTGTAACTAGGGAGGGTGGCATTTGGTGTGGTAACCTGGGGTGTCAACCCTTTTTAATGAGAGTATATGCAACTGGGTTTCACGCTCATTCTGTATGGTGTCATCCTCTGTGGTGTTACCCTGAACCTCCGTGGTGTCACCCTGTGTGTTGTCACCCTGTGTGGTGTTACTCTGATCCTGTGTGGTATTACCCTGTGTGGTGTTACTCTGAACCTCCACGGTGTCACCCTGTGTGGTATTACCCTGTGTGGTGTCACCCTTTGTGGTGTCACCCTGTGTGGTGTTACTCTGAACCTCCATGGTGTCACCCTGTGTGGTGTCACCCTGTGTGGTGTTACTCTGAACCTCCATGTGTCACCCTGTGTGGTATTACTCTGAACCTCCATGTGTCACCCTGTGTGGTATTACTCTGAACCTCCATGTGTCACCCTGTGTGGTATTACTCTGAACCTCCATGGTGTCACCCTGTGTGGTGTCACCCTGTGTGGTGTCACCCTGTGTGGTGTTACTCTGAACCTCCATGTGTCACCCTGTGTGGTATTACTCTGAACCTCCATGGTGTCACCCTATGTGGTGTCACCCTGTGTGGTGTCACCCTGTGTGGTGTCATCCTGTGTGGTGTTACTCTGAACCTCCATGGTGTCACCCTGTGTGGTGTTACTCTGAACCTCCATGGTGTCACCCTGTGTGGTGTCATCCTGTGTGGTGTCATCCTGTGTGGTGTCATCCTGTGTGGTGTTACTCTCACCCTGTGTGGTGTCATCCTGTGTGGTGTCATCCTGTGTGGTGTTACTCTCACCCTGTGTGGTGTCATCCTGTGTGGTGTTACTCTCACCCTGTGTGGTGTCATCCTGTGTGGTGTCATCCTGTGTGGTGTTACTCTCACCCTGTGTGGTGTCATCCTGTGTGGTGTTACTCTCACCCTGCGTGGTGTCATCCTGTGTGTTGTCACCCTGTGTGGTGTCATCCTCCCCCTGTTAATACTGCTAATACTTTGTTAAAACAACTTAGTTAAAAAGTGCAATTTGTTTATATTTTGGTGTCACCCTCATGGTGTGATCAGTGCACTACCCCTCCTCCCCGCCCTAGCCTTAGGATGTCCCTAAGTTTACCCAGTAAAGTCATAAGGCTGACCGCCTTATACCGATATATGTAGAGGTCACAGAAACAGTTGAACTCTACTTCCCCTGCCCATTTGAACTCTACTTCCCCTGCCCTGTGGACCATCAGGTTTGCTAGGGTAACTTTCAAACACATGATAGAGGCTTTCACTAAATAAAACATAAATGACAGATACAATGGTTAAGTTTGTACCTGGTACCCACCTGTCCTGTGTTAACTCACTCAGCTCTCTAGTCTTCAATCCAGCTGCCATGTGTTTTATCAGTTGTTTACACAGGAAACATTGAGCTTCTTATCCCCTCTCTTTTTCTTTCTTTACTGTAAAACATTTAAAAACTGAAAGAGATTTAGAGCATGGTTGAAAGTACAACTGCTTTATTATTTATTTAGTGTAGTGGTCTGGTTGTCAGGTTGGCAGTCATGCATGAAATAACATAGATAAGTCATGCATGATAAAACATATTCAGCCAAAGGAAGTCAAATTTTTTTGTTTATTGTAACAAGCTGATACATTTTTTATGCGATTTTTTAAAAAATAAGTTTTAAATTAAGAAAATGTGCAAATCGTTTTAACTCTCCATTAGTTGTTTTCACTGCATTTAGAATTGATACACCTTTAGAGTAGAAGCTTTCACACAAGTTATTCATGAAGCTAATTAAAGGGTTCCATTCAGAATGTAACCTTTAGCAGATACATTTTTTACATTGTGGAATAGTGTAGAATATTAATGCAATATAAATTATAAATGACATTTTAAAAGCTCACACGGACATAAACTGGTTTTGTATCTTGTTTGTAAATTGTAAGGTTGACCATTAAATAGCATTTCTATAATGTTGTTATAATTTTAAAAGTAAAATGTATCATAAAAAGTGAAAGTGGAAACATGAGGATGGGTGTAGGCTATATCAGTTACCAGGTTAGGGCATCTAATTCATCACATGTGTTGGTTGTTATGTTTTGTTTGTATTTTTGGCAACATCATCAGTAAGACAGATCCACATATGTCATTGTAATTTATACCTAGTCTAGGTATACATGCCATACCTAGTCTATGTGTACATGTCATAGCTAGTCTATGCTATGTGTACATGTCATACCTAATCTATGTGTACAAGTCATACCTAGCCTATGTTTACATGGCATACATAGTCTAGGTGTACATGTCATACCTAGACTAGGTGTACTTGTCATACCTAGACTAGGTGTACATGTCAATAGCATACCTTGACTAGGTGTACATGTCATACCTAGTCTATGTGCACAAGTCATACCTAGTCTATGTGTACATGTCATACCTAGTGTATGTGTACATGGCATACATAGTCTAGGTATACTTGTCATACCTAGACTAGGTGTACATGTCAATAGCATACCTTGACTAGGTGTACATGTCATACCTAGACTAGGTGTACATGTCATACCTAGTCTATGTGTACAAGTCATACCTAGTCTATGTGTACATGTCATACCTAGTGTATGTGTACATGGCATACATAGTCTAGGTGTACTTGTCATACCTAGACTAGGTGTACATGTCAATAGCATACCTTGACTAGGTGTACATGCCATACCTAGTCTAGGTGTACATGCCATACCTAGTCTAGGTGTACATGCCATACCTAGTTTAGGTGTACATGCCATACCTAGTCTGTGTACATGTCATACCTAATCTAGGTATACATGTCATACATAGTCTAGGTGTACATGTCAATGGCATACCTAGACTAGGTGTGTAAGTCATACTTAGACTAGTTGCACATGTCATACCCAATCTAGGTGGAAAAGTCATACCTTGACACGTGTACTCGTCCGACACAGACTAGGTGTGTCATACCTAATCTACAAATCCTACAGTTTATTGTATTTCCATTTGCCACTGAAGTCCAGATATTAACCAAATCTAAATTCTTCCTATTTTTAAGTACTTGACAGTTTCTTTTGTCCGCAATAATATTTATTTTTTTACCTGCTAAACTAAAGACATTAGGTTACCAACTCTGGTTTCCTTTTGTCCGCAATAATATTTATTCTTTTACCTGCTAAACTAAAGACATTAGGTTACCAACTCTGGTTTCTTTTTTCCGCAATAATATTTATTTTTTTACCTGCTAAACTAAAGACATTAGGTTACCAACTCTGGTTTCCTTTTGTCCGCAATAATATTTATTCTTTTACCTGCTAAAGACAATAGGTTACCAACTCTGGTTTCCTTTTGTCCGCAATAATATTTATTCTTTTACCTGCTAAACTAAAGACATTAGGTTACCAACTCTGGTTTCCTTTTGTCCACAATAATATTTATTTTTTTACCTGCTAAACTAAAGACATTAGGTTACCAACTCTGGTTTCCTTTTGTCCACAATAATATTTATTCTTTTACCTGCTAAACTAAAGACATTAGGTTACCAACTCTGGTTTCCTTTTGTCCGCAATAATATTTATTTTTTTACCTGCTAAACTAAAGACATTAGGTTACCAACTCTGGTTTCCTTTTGTCCGCAATAATATTTATTTTTTTACCTGCTAAACTAAAGACATTAGGTTACCAACTCTGGTTTCCTTTTGTCCGCAATAATATTTATTTTTTTACCTGCTAAACTAAAGACATTAGGTTACCAACTCTGGTTTCCTTTTGTCCGCAATAATATTTATTTTTTTACCTGCTAAACTAAAGACGTTAGGTTACCAACTCTGGTTTCCTTTTGTCCGCAATAATATTTATTCTTTTACCTGCTAAACTAAAGACATTAGGTTACCAACTCTGGTTTCCTTTTGTCCGCAATAATATTTATTTTTTTACCTGCTAAACTAAAGACATTAGGTTACCAACTCTGGTTTCCTTTTGTCCGCAATAATATTAATTTTTTTACCTGCTAAACTAAAGACATTAGGTTACCAACTCTGGTTTCCTTTTGTCCGCAATAATATTTATTTTTTTACCTGCTAAACTAAAGACATTAGGTTACCTACTCTGGTTTTCTTTTGTCCGCAATAAAATTTATTCTTTTACCTGCTAAACTAAAGACATTAGGTTACCAACTCTGGTTTCCTTTTGTCCGCAATAATATTTATCTTTTTACCCTCTAAACTAAAGACATTAGGTTACCTACTCTGGTTTCCTTTTGTCCGCAATAATATTTATTCTTTTACCTGCTAAAGACAATAGGTTACCAACTCTGGTTTCCTTTTGTCCGCAATAATATTTATTCTTTTACCTGCTAAACTAAAGACATTAGGTTACCAACTCTGGTTTCCTTTTGTCCACAATAATATTTATTTTTTTACCTGCTAAACTAAAGACATTAGGTTACCAACTCTGGTTTCCTTTTGTCCACAATAATATTTATTCTTTTACCTGCTAAACTAAAGACATTAGGTTACCAACTCTGGTTTCCTTTTGTCCGCAATAATATTTATCTTTTTACCCTCTAAACTAAAGACATTAGGTTACCAACTCTGGTTTCCTTTTGTCCGCAATAATATTTATTTTTTTACCTGCTAAAGACAATAGGTTACCAACTCTGGTTTTCTTTTGTCCGCAATAATATTTATCTTTTTACCCTCTAAACTAAAGACATTAGGTTACCTACTCTGGTTTCCTTTTGTCCGCAATAATATTTATTTTTTTACCTGCTAAACTAAAGACATTAGGTTACCTACTCTGGTTTCCTTTTGGCAGCTCCTGTGACACTGGTGATCCCCAGTTGTATAGGTGGTACGGTCCCTTGGGCCCTCAGTTTTGTGGAGAAATTGATATGATACATGGGCAACATCTGCCTCTTCTCATCTTACAAGTTGCAGCTCAGGCTTTGTGCTTGGATTTCTAATACTTAACCTACCAGTGGTCTATTAGACTATGGAGCCATATTAGATCTATTGATTATAGTAGGAAACATAATGAAGTCTGTTGAATGTCCCTGAGTTGACCCAATGGACTAATGGATACTTGACTCACATTAGGGAAAATAAGGAAGCTGGGCATATTATCATTGAATCAGATGAGCTCTACTTCATCTGCCTATGTGTATTGGGCATTAAAGGGAAAAGATGATAATGAAACTGAATTATAAAGACAATGATATTATCATTTTATAGTGTGTGTAAATGGTTTGCGAGATTAATAGTTATAGAGAAATATTGTTGATGATTCTGGATCACATACAGATGATGAAATTCAGAATACATTTTTGAATTTATATTGTCAACTGCCATTGTCAACTAAATTGTCTTAATCCACTTTATCCCTGACTTAACGGCCTTAGTAATCCACTCTGTCTTAACTAATCTACCTTAATCCTCCCTGTTCCTGACTTTACTGCCTTAATCCTACTGTTCCTGACTTTACTGCCTTAATCCTCCCTGTTCCTGACTTTACTGCCTTAATCCTCCCTGTTCCTGACTTTACTGCCTTAATCCTCCCTGTTCCTGACTTTACTGCCTTAATCCTCCCTGTTCCTGACTTTACTGCCTTAATCTTTCCTGTTCCTGACTTTACTGCCTTAATCCTCCCTGTTCCTGACTTTACTGCCTTAATCCTCCCTGTTCCTGACTTTACTGCCTTAATCCTCTCTGTTCCTGACTCATTCACCTTAATCCACCCTAGCCCTGACTTAACCACCTTAATCCACCCTAGCCCTGAGTTAACTGCCTTAATCCACCCTATCCCTGACGTAACTGCCCTAATCCACTCTATCCCTGACCTGTTTTCTACCTCTCTATTCCAGACTGCTGAGAGAAGTCCTGCTGTTAACTGTCTTCCAGCACCCAGGTATCCTAAAGCTGAAGGGCTACTGTCTGCGAGGGAACCGCCAAGCTTCACAGCTCCATGAGAAAGGGGTGGTGCTGGTCACAGAGATTGGTACACCCCTGACCTCCTCCATTCTTATGTCTTCTACATGGGCACAGAGAGTCAAGGTACCACAGACTCATAATTAACATATATTACATTTTCAATTCATACATTGTCCTAATTTAAAGCAAACAATATCTTATTTAAATATAAGGTAAAGAATTTCTTAATTAAATTAATTCATTTTCTTAATGAATTTCATATGTTGTCTTATGTAAATTCATACATTTTTTAAATTAAGTACATACATTTTCTTAATTTGTACCAGTCCCAAAATAAAAAATACATTATAAAATTCAATTAATCCATTGTCCTAATTTAGTAAAGTATGTACCACACAATAATAAACTAAAACCATAGCCACTGAAATTTAATTAATTGTTTACCAACTGTTGTTGTCTCCCCTGATTTTGAATTGAAGTCATGGACGGGCTCTTGGCACAAACAAAGAAAGAGGCATCAGATGGACTCTAACAACTAGCCTAGAGGACCTAGATTGTTTAGATGATTTAATTCTACTAGCTAGTAATCAATAAGACATGGAAGAAAAACTAAATAGACTTATTTCTTTTGCTAATGGAGTTGAACTCAAACATTAACAAAACAAAAGTAATCAAGCAAAGTACAATTAGCCAAGAATATATTGAAATAAACAACACACAAGTAGAGGAAGTAAAAACTTTCACATATTTAGGCAGCATTGTCGTTTTACGAAGGAGACTGCTCCACTGAAATTAAAACATGCATCTCTAAAGTTAGACTAAAGCCAAACAAGCCTTTGCCATCATGCAAAAAATGGCAGAAAATCTCCCCCACTCCTAGACCACCTGTAGACTTTTCAAAAGATAGACTAGGAAAAAGAAAACAAGAAAAACCAAAGAAACATGGGGGTGCACAGCAGTAAAACAAATGGCAAAAGCAGGAATACCTTGGGGGGACTGCCAAAATAATTGCCAGAGACCTGCTAAAGTGGAAAGAGCTTTCTGTTGCCGCCTCCAATGTGTTTTGGGCACCAACAAGAAAAGATGATGATGGTTAAGTTGATGGAATTATAAGTTTGTGACAGTGTGTAGTGTAAATCATTTTCAGAGTCCAAAGGTTATTACAGAATGCTAACAATTCTGCACAATACTCATTCCTAATAAGTAAAAAAACTCAGCCAAATACTGTACTGATTAAAATCTTGTAATTGTAGATAGAGAACAGTCTCAGAGCTAGGATTCTCCAGTAGGTTTAAAGATTTGATTGTTTGTGTGGACAGATGGCGCTGCAGATTGGGCATCTGCTCCTGTTCCTAGAGTCCAGCCCACTGGGCAGCATGCGTCTGTCCAAGCTGGACCTGAAGGACTTTGTGCTGGTGGATGAGCAGGTGGTCAAGCTGGCTGATCTGGATGACCTGGAGGTTGGGGAGAAGACTTGCTTCAGGGACATGGACTGTGTCATACAGGAGGCTTCTAGAGGTTGGGTCACACTCTCTCTCACTTAACACATCCCTGTCTCACCTATCACACCACATTGTCTAACTTATCAGACTTGCTTCAGGGACATGGACTGTGTCATACAGGAGGCTTCTAGAGGTTGGGTCACACTCTCTCTCACTTAACACATCCCACAGTCTTATCCATCACACCACATTGTCTCACCTATCACAGCTCATTGTCTCACCTATTTTAACTAGTTGTCTCACCTATCACAGCCCATTGTCTCACCTATCACAGCTCATTGTCTCACCTATCACACCCCATTGTCTCACCTATCACACCCCATTGTCTCACCTATGACACCACATTGTCTCACCTATCACAGCCTATTGTCTCACCTATTTTAACTAGTTGTCTCACCTATCACAGCCCATTGTCTCACCTATCACAGCCCATTGTCTCACCTATTTTAACTAGTTGTCTCACCTATCACAGCCCATTGTCTCACCTATTTTAACTAGTTGTCTCACCTATCACAGCCCATTGTCTCACCTATCACACCCCATTGTCTCACCTATCACACCACATTGTCTCACCTATCACACCACATTGTCTCACCTATCACACCCCATTGTCCCACCTATCACAGCCCATTGTCTCACCTATCACAGCCCATTGTCTCACCTATTTCACACAGTTGTCTCACCTATCACAGCCCATTGTCTCACCTATCTTACCCAGTTGTCTCACCTATCACAGCCCATTGTCACACCTATCGCACCACATTGTCTCACCTATCACACCACATTGTCACACCTATCGCACCACATTGTCTCACCTATCACACCACATTGTCACACCTATCACACCACATTGTCTCACCTATCACACCCCATTGTCTCACCTATCACAGCCCATTGTCTCACCTATCACAGCCCATTGTCTCACCTATAACACCCCATTGTCTCACCTATCACACCACATTGTCCCACCTATTTTAACTAGTTGTCTCACCTATCACAGCCCATTGTCTCACCTATCACACCACATTGTCTCACCTATCACAGCCCATTGTCTCACCTATCACAGCCCATTGTCTCACCTATCACACCCCATTGTCTCACCTATCACACCACATTGTCCCACCTATTTTAACTAGTTGTCTCACCTATCACACCCCATTGTCTCACTTATCACAGCCCATTGTCTCACCTATCACACCACATTGTCCCACCTATTTTAACTAGTTGTCTCACCTATCACACCCCATTGTCTCACCTATCACACCACATTGTCTCACCTATCACACCCCATTGTCCCACCTATCACACCCCATTGTCCCACCTATCACACCCCATTGTCTCACCTATCACAGCCCATTGTTTCACCTATCACACCCATTGTCTCACCTATCACACCACATTGTCTCACCTATCACACCCCATTGTCTCACCTATCACAGCCCATTGTCTCACCTATCACAGCCCATTGTCTCACCTATTTCACACAGTTGTCTCACCTATCACAGCCCATTGTCTCACCTATCACAGCCCATTGTCTCACCTATCACAGCCCATTGTCTCACCTATCACAGCCCATTGTCTCACCTATTTCACACAGTTGTCTCACCTATCACAGCCCATTGTCTCACCTATCACACCCCATTGTCTCACCTATCACACCACATTGTCCCACCTATTTTAACTAGTTGTCTCACCTATCACAGCCCATTGTCTCACCTATCACACCACATTGTCTCACCTATCACAGCCCATTGTCTCACCTATCACAGCCCATTGTCTCACCTATCACACCCCATTGTCTCACCTATCACACCACATTGTCCCACCTATTTTAACTAGTTGTCTCACCTATCACAGCCCATTGTCTCACCTATCACACCACATTGTCTCACCTATCACAGCCCATTGTCTCACCTATCACACCCCATTGTCTCACTTATCACACCCCATTGTCTCACCTATCACACCCCATTGTCCCACCTATTTTAACTAGTTGTCTCACCTATCACACCCCATTGTCTCACTTATCACACCCCATTGTCTCACCTATCACACCACATTGTCCCACCTATTTTAACTAGTTGTCTCACCTATCACACCCCATTGTCTCACCTATCACACCACATTGTCTCACCTATCACAGCCCATTGTCTCACCTATCACACCCCATTGTCTCACCTATGACACCACATTGTCTCACCTATCACACCACATTGTCCCACCTATTTTAACTAGTTGTCTCACCTATCACACCCCATTGTCTCACCTATCACACCCCATTGTCTCACCTATCACACCCCATTGTCTCACCTATGACACCACATTGTCTCACCTATCACAGCCCATTGTCTCACCTATCACACCCCATTGTCCCACCTATCACACCCCATTGTCTCACCTATCACAGCCCATTGTTTCACCTATCACACCCATTGTCTCACCTATCACACCACATTGTCCCACCTATTTTAACTAGTTGTCTCACCTATCACACCACATTGTCTCACCTATCACACCCCATTGTCTCACCTATCACACCCCATTGTCTCACCTATCACACCACATTGTCTCACCTATGACACCACATTGTCTCACCTATCACACCCCATTGTCTCACCTATCACACCCCATTGTCCCACCTATTTTAACTAGTTGTCTCACCTATCACACCCCATTGTCTCACCTATCACACCCCATTGTCTCACCTATCACACCACATTGTCCCACCTATTTTAACTAGTTGTCTCACCTATCACACCCCATTGTCTCACCTATCACATTTTATTTACCTTAGCAGGTAAAAAAGTCTATAGCCTCTAATATATCTATGTTTAAAAGTTCATGATGTCTTATATTTAATAGTTAGGAATAGTACACTTAATTTGTTTTATTAATCCAGGAGTTAATAACGTCTAGTTTGCCTCATTAACTTATGAATTTATGAATGACTTTTTTCCCATTATGTCAGGTGTTCGATGCACCAAGAATGTGTGTGAGGGGCTGAATGCACTCAACAACTTGTTTCTGACTCTAAATGTTGCCTTCATACCTTTGTTGCGCAACCCTCCCACAGACAAGGACAAAGATTTTGTATTCAAGCTGAAAAATTTTAAGCTTGACACTGAGGAAATGGTGGTAGCCATGGAGGCCATGTTCAGCAAATTGCGTGAGTTTTTCTTGTCACAGTTGATTGGTGTAGGTGTAGGAAGATTTTGTGAATTTTGTTAAATGTTTAATAGACATGAACATGCCAACCAATATGTATATATATATAAATATAAATAAAAAAAAAAAAAAAAAAAAAATATATATATATATATATATATATATATATATATATATATATATATATATATAACATTATTGTTGTCTGACCAGCTACTAAACAAACAACGGAACCCATCAATGCACAAGTCAACAGCGTGAAAAGTTTTAAGAACAAGTTTGAAACACAGAAGGATATTGATGAAATTAATAAGGCATGGAAGAAGGTAGCATTATAGTCTTATCTATTGTTGTAAATGTATTTTTATCTTGTAAAAATGTATAGCAGAACCTGCTGCATTAATTTACAGAATTATCTCATGCACCCAAATGATAAATTACATACTAATTTTGAATTGGTCTTCCGGTACTGTCGTTTCCTTGAATATTTTTATAATTGACTGTTAGTGTCATTCTAGATGAAGCACATGAATTGACCAAATTTTTCAAAAACTCCAGGTGGTTATTAAAGACGATGCGGAGCTCGAGTTGAAGAGCTTCCAGCGACTGGACGAGAGGAATTTTGCGGGAGTGTATGATTACCCCTGCCCTGGGTCCCGCGTAGTGTGGGGGTGTGTGTTCACGGTGTCGTCCCTAGGGCAAGCTGCCCGGCTGTGCCTGAGTGATGACCATTGTATGGCCTTCATCACCTTTACCACGTCCCCAGAAACAGAGAGTAAGTTGGTGTATCCTTATGTGTGACAGTCATAGCTTGCTTTTTGTCATGTCTGTGTCACGTCCCCAGAAACAGAGAGTAAGTTGGTGTATCCTTGTGTGTGACAGTCATAGCTTGCTTTTTGTCATGTCTGTGTCATGTCCCCAGAAACAGAGAGTAAGTTGGTGTATCCTCGTGTGTGACAGTCATAGCTCGCTTTTTGTCATGTCTGTGTCATGTCCCCAGAAACAGAGAGTAAGTTGGTGTATCCTCGTGTGTGACAGTCATAGCTTGCTTTTTGTCATGTCTGTGTCATGTCCCCAGAAACAGAGAGTAAGTTGGTGTATCCTTATGTGTGACAGTCATAGCTTGCTTTTTGTCATGTCTGTGTCATGTCCCCAGAAACAGAGAGTAAGTTGGTGTATCCTTGTGTGTGACAGTCATAGCTTGCTTTTTGTCATGTCTGTGTCATGTCCCCAGAAACAGAGAGTAAGTTGGTGTATCCTCGTGTGTGACAGTCATAGCTTGCTTTTTGTCATGTCTGTGTCACGTCCCCAGAAACAGAGAGTAAGTTGGTGTATCCTTGTGTGTGACAGTCATAGCTTGCTTTTTGTCATGTCTGTGTCATGTCCCCAGAAACAGAGAGTAAGTTGGTGTATCCTTATGTGTGACAGT